TTTTTGGAAAATCAAACCCTAAACGCAATCTATGCATCATGGACCGGCCCCTCAATCAGGTGAAAGCTATTTATTGCGTTTTGCTTAGGCTGTGCGCTTTTAAGAAGGCAGAAGGCAGAATATCAAGAGGAGAGGAGAGGTCAAGAAGCCACGCAACTATATAAATATGGCTTATACTGCAGTTGGCCTTATTCATTTTTGGATGTCTTTTGACTCCTCTTGGTAGTTTTCCAATCGACTTTTTGGAAAACTCTTGGGCGCATGTTACGCGTTTGTGCTTTAGCCGCTTTTACCAATCCTTTGACCTCAGAGGGAAACCTTCTACAAAATGCCTTGACTCAACCCCAAGAAATAGAACTTTCAATTTGGTTTGCAAAGAGGTATGGTATCAGCCCCTCACTTTCAATGATAGAAAATAAAAAATGTCACTAATTTCAAAATCAATATAAACCTTTGGACAAGTCAATACCCAGGACCCAGATTCCAACCTTTAAACCAACATGCTTTTTGTTGCATTCAATTCCTACAAGACAATACAATTTAAACACAAACATTACAGCGAAGTCGGATTTATGGTGGATTCGGCTCTGAGATATCCTCAGAGTCGGATTTATGGTGGATTCGACTCTGAGATATCCTCAGAGTCGGATTTATGGTGGATTCGACTCTGAGATTTTCTCAGAGTCGGATTTAAGGTGGGCTCAATTTTCAGCTCAGATTCGACCATGAAAAAAGAACTCCCAAGTCCTTAGGTGGGGGGGGGTCAAGCTGGAGTTGGGGGCGCCTTTTCCATGGTCGGTGAATTTGACTCTGAGATATCCTCAGAGTCGGATTCATGGTGAATTCGACTCTGAGAATTGTCAGAGTCCAATCTTAGGTCAAATTCGACTCTGAATGTCATCCCACGCTCAGAGTCCAATCTTAAGTCAAATTCGACTCTGAACGTCACCCCACACTCTCAGAGTCGAATCTGAGGTCAGATTAGACTCTGAGACTTTCAAATTGTTTGCTGGCCAAGCTCAACATTAGACTCTGTCAGACACGTAGAAAAAACTGTTCTCAGAGTCTAAAGTGACCTCACATTCGACTCTGAAGCCATGCTTTCCCAAACGCACAGCCTCACAAAGTTTTTGGCCTTGGTGGGGCAGCTAAATTGCCAAGCGCTCAGAGTCCAAAGTGAGGTTAGATTAGACTCTGAGGGGCCTGTTTCCCATCATGACTTTGAGAGTCTAAAGCCATAAGCTGTTAAGAACATAAGCGGAACTTTCAACTTTCATTTTGAAACGCTTGGCATGAAAGAGGCGCTAGGTTCAAGATTGAAGTTGCAACCAAACTGAACAAGAAATCCACAACTAGGCCCTGTACTGTACCCTCCCGCCCCCCGTTTCGAACGTCAGACCGAAACGTTTAGGGTTTAGGGTTCCGGAAATTTGGGGTGAAGGTGTCGCCAAACCTTCGGTTTCGGAACTTTCCAAGACTGTCGCTCACACTAATGGAAACCGCACTGTTTTCACGCGTTTTGTTCCTACAGCTCATTTCGATCCCTTTCCGCGGCCTTTGCCGCCTTTCTCCTTGGACCCCGACTTTTGGCCAAAAGCTTTTTGAGCCACTTGTGTGGCTTCCTGCCAAGTCAGGCCTTGATTTGCCCACAGCATGGCTGCTGCCTGCAACACAGCACGCTCCCCGTACGCTTTCAATTCTTTCCTGCGACCTTCAGGCGCCGCAAGCCTGCCAAAGGACCAAACTTGCGCAAGACTGCCGCCACTATATATAATATATATATATATATCGTGCGACATATAGTGCATGTATGAATAATGGACTACACATATATCATATAGTATAACACGACGTGGCTATTATATATAAGCGCGGAAAAGTGATAAACAAACGACTTTGAGACTCACACTCGGAACCGATTTCGACTTCAGCCCGGCGTAGCCTCAATTTGTTGGGCCGGACAAAAAAAGATGAGGGCGCCAATAGTCCAGGAAGCGATTGACTGGGGCCGGAGCAAGGAGTTCCAAAACGACACCTGCAACAGCGACGGCTTTGAAGAGGCAGTATGCGCATGGCAAAAAGTGGTTGAGTGTTTCACATGGGTGATATATGTTCTGTTTCACGCTGCTCGATTGAAATGTGACCGCTCGATTCAATCGTCAACGGCCCACCCTAGCAAACCAAACAGGGGCTGCTTCGGCAAAGCGCCAGAGAGCCATTGGTCCAAGTAGTCTGCAGCTCGTTCCAAGCCAATTTCTGGTTCGCGAAGGATAAGGCTATACTTTGCTACATGGTCCCGGTACTCGTCCCCAAGGTCTTTCCGCGCGGCCACAACTGCACAACAATTATTCACAGCCAAAGTTGCTTGATTCCAGGTTAAAGTTGAAGTATGGTTTTAAGCTCATCGTTTTACAAATGTGCTTGGAAGAACACATAGTAGAACGATAGGAGTGCTTCAAGTCAACAACTGGCCTGGAGGAAGCCCCATTGGAAGAATTTGCTCTGCAAGTTCTCTGGGGTAGAAACGAAAAATGCGAGAATATTGCCGATCTGCCATCCATTGTTTGGTCCTCCAACGTCCAAACGGCCTAGTAGTCACTAAGAACCTGTCCAACGCGCAAAAGAACCTCAGTTATCAAACATGTTTAATCACAAGGTTTCAGTCAACTCCGAAGTCCACGACGTTTCTGAAGTTGAGGGCAGCCCCTCCTCAACATAACATCATGCGGATGGTCCCGATACGTCTTCCAATAGTCCTTCTGAGTGAAATCCTTGGCTTGCAGTCCTGGTTCAGCAGTCTGCCACAGGTCACAACTTCAAAGGCAGGGCGCGAAAAAAGAAAGCAAAACACGGTAGAAGTCTTTGAGTCCAAATGTCTTGGAGTCTTAGTCTTGCGTTCAGTAAACAGAAGTCTTAAGACTCCACAAGTCAAGTGTCAAGTGTCCCCGTCGACGAACCAGCGTCCTGAATGGCAAAACCTTTCGAACAAAAAGATGTGCGGAGCGCCAGGCCCTCCCACGCCCACCACGGACACAGGAATTCCAGATAGAAGCCAGCCACGCCTTGGGAGCTAGAATCAGCTAGAAGCTAGCAAACAGCTCAATCTGTGCTCAAGCAATCCCCATCAAGTTATAATCAGCAAAACACGTACTGGAATGGAGACCTGGGTCCGCGCACACGCGCGTCTTGGAGCACCCCCAGAACCACCTTTGAGGGCGCGCGACCCAGAACCAATTTAGATCCCTATTTTGTGGTGAAAGTTCATAATTCGGAAAGTGGGTGGCCCTTGCCTCACAGAACCTTCTACGCTATTGTGGTTCAATATGTATTTTGAAGGATGAACTGGTAGCTTCTACTATGTTCTTGTGTGTGAACGCCTATCAGCCTATAATATTCTTGCAACAAACCCCGATTCCGTTCGCCATGAAATCAAAGGGCCAATCTCGGGTCTGGTCAAGCTTGTGGACAAACTTGTCCCTTTCAAAAGGTCTTCGCATGCCATCTCGGCAAAACTCCCTCAAGCTCTCAACGAAGTCATTCGACGTGAGCTGGCAACGCAAGCCCTTGAGGAAAGTTGCTATTTGGCCAAAAAGTTGGTCGATGTCTTCGTGGCTGTGCCCGCTCCTTAAAGATGAAATCTTTAAGGAGCGGACACAGCCACAACTCACGGCCCCTGCTGCAAATCTCAGAATGTGATTGTTCTTTACCTCTCGGCATGTATTATCGCACTGGATGGTTATATCACATTGATCCAACCGCACGCGCGTGCTGAGCAGGTCCATGCAGTGGCTGATGATTTCCAGCGACGTGTTGCTATCCTTTGGCAAGTCGTGCTCTGTGAGATAGATCGAAACGAAGTGCCCATGCACTATGGCTGCCGCCAGGTGCAACCGGGGTCGTGAAAAGCCGTTCAGCGCTTTCGTGTAGATGCTCTTGTGTCTTGGCACCGCAAACTTCCCTTGGTCCATTCCGTCTATTATAATCGTTATACGATTACTCTGGCTGCGGCTCTCCCCCCTTGCTTCCCAGTACTCAATTCTATCCCGAAATTGATCTTCCAGGTGCTGGTGGTATAAACTCTCTTGAGTTCTGCGGGCATTCAAATGCCTTGACAAAGCACTGATGAGCGCTTTGTGTTTGTAGCACTCCGTGCAGATGCTGTGGCTCGATGAGCTCCTAAACTTCATGAAGGAGAAGTTGGAAGCCCACACCTCCGAAGTGTAGAACGAGGTTCCATCCCACAAACCCGTCCAATCAAAAGTTTGAAGGGACCACCACAAAACGCAACCGCAAACACACTTTCTGGAAAAGCATCGAACTTATGCGCCAAACTTAGCCATGGAACCCGCCAGAAGCAAGGGAAACTTGCCGGTTTGGCCAACCCGGACTGCCGAACATACTGAGTGTGATATTCCTTCATTGTTCCAGGCGGTAAGAAGCGCTCCTCATTCTCAGCAGAACCTCTGCCAGGCCTGATGGGAATCGACTTTCTCATCTTCCGTGGCCTTGTCTTTGGCTTCGACTGTTTAGCCGACGGTGGACACCGAATGTCCGCCCTCAAGGCAAGACTGAAATCAGCATAAGGTTCTGAATCGGGTTGTTGTACTCTCACATCTATTTTTGGCAATGAACTTTCATCGTCTGACAGGGTGTCATCTCTCACGTCTGGCAAAGTTTCAGCCACACTGCAATAAATTTTCTGCAAGAATTCGATTACATCGGAAGTCACCTCGAGATTTCTAGTTTGGTCATACTTCCGCACTCTCAAATACCGCAAATCAGCCGGAGCAGCTTGCCGTCCTTCGCGAACGGCTTTGGCTATCTTTTCGCAACGGCGGCTTCCTAAAACGAGTTTCTGTCACACAAAGATGGGAGTTTCTGCTCAAGAAGGAGTTGAAGTACATATAGTCTGCAAGTAACAACTGGTGTTTGGTTTTAGATTCAGCTTGGTCTCCAATCCCATGGAGCTGCTTCCAAGATTTGAAGCAAACGGGGTGCCCCAAAAAGTGCCAAGATCGAACGCTTTTGCCTGTCTCCTCGCGGGCTGCATCCACAGATTTGATTTCGTCAAATACCTCACAGCGGGTTAAACCCAGCAACCAACGGCAAGGATTATCGTCAGTTTCTAGTCACAATGCTCGAACATCTGCCAAGACGTTTTTCAAACAGAGTTGCCATCTGATCCCGGTCCAGCTTGTGATATGTTTTCCACTTCTTCCGAAAATCCAGCAATGATGAAAAGTTCGATCTTTGTTTGAAGACTTCTTTGCACCTCTTTGTGCACCCCTGTGAAGAACAAGGCTGTGAAAGCATCACCTCAAGGCCCTTTGCGTCATCATAAGCGAAGGCCTTTGACGCCTGCCTCTTCAAACCTGTGCGCTGAGGCTGCCTCTCATTGTCAGACGAAGATTCTGACAAGTCGGTGACAGGCTTCGGCGGCATCAAACAGAAAATGGTGAGCAATCGCAACCATGGCAGAGGCATACCATAAAACAAATCCTTTCAGAATGTAAGTGTATAGTGTGGAAGGCTCTGGTTTTGGTTTTGCCAAATGAAAGCTTCCTAACGCTGTGCACGCTGCAGCCGCTACCATGACAGGTTGACAAACGCTTGAACCATCACTTCCTTTCACAACCATTTGTTACACTAGATCATGTGTAACAGCTGCACCACTTCCTCAGTGAAAACTGGACAGGCGCGCCATCCAAAACTCAAGACACAAACAACTTTTCAACTTGAGCTGTTCGGATGGGCAGCTTCTTGCCAAGTTCAAAGTTACCAGAAACTCACTTCAGAATTCAGGCGTTTGATTCAAACTCGGCAACGCTAATTAGCTTTCCACGGACTTTGCGCTCCGTCCTGAAATCACAACACCCTCAATAAAGAAATTGATATTCGTTCTACGCTCGCACTAAAAAGCAATATGAATAATAGTGTCATAACGACTTCACCCAAGTCCTCGGCATGTTCAGTATTGTGTGGAAGCCACTCGCGAACTGTCCAGGACCATAGCCACCTCTCAGTCAGAACCCTTTCTTTTTCGCGTCGCGCAGCGGCGTGAATGTTTTTTTTAAAGAAACCTTGAGAAGTTAGCTGGCCACCCTTTCATTGACAGGTTCAACTACCTGTGAGTGCAATAAACAAACTCATGCGTTGACATCTGAACACTTGCCACAGAACTGTTGCGCCCGACACTCAGGCTCTCACTGCTTTCCATGCCAAGTTGTGGTCACCAACGTATTCCGGGGCACCCTTAGTCACATGCAAAAATTCAGTTCCATGAGGCAACAATAGACGCACCATGATCAAAAATTATCACAACGGCCTTAAAAAGAGCACATCAGTACAAGTCAGGTGACAAGACTGCATTGATACCAGTCGTTCTCACTTTCCCACAAATTGAAGGAGCGCGATGATCAGCAGTCTCACGCTCCCGTGGTATAGACTCCGGCAAATCAGAAGCTTTGCGTTTCGAAGTCGGCTGCGCCATCCGATCACATCCAACTAACGACCGAAGCTCCGCCTAGCTAAGGACAAACACAAACTAACTGGCACTGCTGCTGTTGCTGCATCAAGCATGCTTCTAGCGCATCAAATGAAACTGCCACAGTGCGAACGCATACATCTGCTGATTAGCAAAGAGATGACTCAGACTCAACAAAGAATCCCTGCTGTAGTTGGCTTGGTTTTGACCCCGTGTTCTGCACGCATTTGAGTTGACAGGCACCACACATTGCCGCGTGGTAAGTGAATTTCACCCGCCTCATCTAATTTGCAAAGAAAACTCATCTCAGAAACTCTACGCGTCATGCCAGCGTGGTTCCCACGTCAGGCATCTGGTACGACTTGGAAATGCTCAAAGCGATCGAAAGACCGGCGCGGGCGCAAGGGGGCACCACTAAATTCCCAAGCACTCCCATCCGGTCATCATGGTCCTGCGAACGTTCCTCCACAAGCCAAAGGTGCATGGGAATTTTGTTCCAAGAGTTCCAGCTTTCCGACTTCTCCAAGAGCGAGGCCATGGGCAGCAAGTTGAGGTCCTTCGGCCACGATCCCGTTTCTAACTAACACTCACTGGTTTCAATCGAAAATTGAAAGCAGATTGCAATGATCTCGCCAGCCTTGACCAGCTTGTCACCGGGAATGGTGCTCCAAAAGAAGACTCTGTCCCTGTTGGCCTCAAATGAATGGAAAGTCAGAAAGGCGCAAGAAACAATTCCTCTGAACTCATTTCAAAAAATGACTATCAGATCAACATTAAATTAAGTCTGGTTAACCCTTTCTCGCCAAGCCATCAATCAAACAAGTGACAGCAAGGCCAACATTGGAGAGTGACACGGTTGCCCAATGTAAGATCATCTTGCGGGCTGCAGTCTCCTGGATGGAACATTTCGAAAAAAAGGTTCCTCCTCAATTTCAATGTAAACTTTAAACTCAAAAATTGCTTGGTACAACCAGCCTGCACGAGGTAGTTGAACAGTTGTCTCATAGACCTCTTCTTTCCAAGCAGCGCCTTCACGTTTTCGAAGTACATCACGCGCCTGGACGCTGGCAAGAGTTTGGACGAGCTTGCCATCAGGAGGCATGCTGAGTGGATCAAGCAAAGTCTGACTGTGTTTCCATTGCCTGAAACATCGCATTTGAATCACAAATGCATAAAGTACATATTATATATATATATAGCTACAAATAGACAAAATATATAGTAATATATATATATATATTAAATATGTTTATATATATATCGGCCTCTGCTTCGGTGGCAACGTGTCAAAGACTCGAAAGATGTGACAGACCAGCTTTGTGCGGTGGTCTTTCAAGCCACCCTGTGTGGACGCAGCGCTCACTCCCTGACAAATTGGAATAAACACGCTTTTGTAAAAAGCGCCGCGCAACATGTCAACCATTCAGTCAAAAGGCTTGGATAATGTCAGTTGCTGGCCTGGCAGGGAAAGCCTCCTCCAGCGCCGCAGGCACCAGAGTCAGCTGCGTCATACGTGCAAACATCTTCAGCTATGTCAGCAAAGTGGAGGAGTCCTTCGTCCATTCTGGCCTGTAGCAGTTGCCGGCAATACGGGTTCTTCTCTACCTCAGTCATCACTGGTTACGGTAATCTCGGTGAAGGAACCACTCACAGTGAGGCTTCGACGAAGGCCGTCGCGTAGACGTATCTGGCAAGCATGTATTCTCTGGGAAGCTTTCACAGGGAAATTGAACGCACAGCACCTGCCTGCTGAGACCCAGCTCCAGACCGGCGCAGCCAGCAAACAAGGCAACCACCGCAATCTTGTTTTCCTGTTTTTTGGTAAACCATTTCCTTTGTTACACTCCCACTCAGATCTGTTTTACAGTTGACTGGAAGAGTACAGTTACTGTCCTTCGACCACATGTCCGGGAATTGCTCGTAGAACTTGGCCTTGTCAATTAGACCACGCTGCAATGATGTCCAGTGAAGGGGAAGTCCTGGACAGCAAATCTAACAAAAAGACACACAACCAATCCATGCGCGACTGCATGAAACAAGCTTGGTGTCACCACTCACTATTGAAAGAATGTTTCAAGTACCGTCATGGCTTTAGGATGGAACTTGGAACGCACCAGGCCTGAGAAAAACTCGCCCGCCAAAGGGTTCAGCACCTTCCCAGCTGCGTGGTTGGCCTTCTTGCAAGCCGCAGCGTAGTCAGCGCTCCAGCGAACTTGGTTCGCAAAATCCCCCCAAATCGAACTCAAAACGCTGAATAATAGGCGACTATCAATCACATTTAACTAAAACATGCCCAGGCCCCGGCACAGATTCCACGGCAAGTAGGTTGTTCAGTTGCTCTTGTTGTGGCGGAAAAAACGCCTGAACTCTTCTTGTCTCAACAGCAAACGCCAAATTCATACGCAAACAGTCAAGAGTTGTTGCACAAAAGCAAGTCTGTTCAACCTTAAACTGAAAGAAGCTGGGCTTTGCACGGATACAACTCCAGCTCTTGAAGACGCGAGCCCCATGAAAAGCTGGAGATTTGCAGCCCTTGCGTTTTGAACCGCTTTTCATCATGCGAGGCACGATGACCTGAATTTGAAACCCTTGCTGATGAACCAGGCAGGTCTCTAGCGCTGCCTTCAAACCTAACCTTAGTCCCTGGCGCGAAGTTGAAGCTTGTCCGCTCTCGGAAGCTTCACATCCACAGGGGTGATTAGCACAGAACGCTTCGATTTGGAGACAGCTGTTCCAAACTTCGGAATCACTTGTTTGCCAGTAGCTACCCAAAGCATGGTTTTGCCTTTCGCAGTACGTTTCATGTGTTTCAAAGGACGCTTCTTCAACTTCATCACCTACCGGTGGGCAAACTTTTCGCAAGTACAAGTAACAAGTCGTACAAGCCTGTAAGAACTGAAAAAATCTCAAGAATCAGAACCATGAACTGATCACGCCTTCTTGACAACTTTCCGATTTCGATTTGAAGGTCCCGGCTTTGCGCTCGTCCTCAGAACACAAGCCGTC